CCCCAGCCCCGTGGTGACGGGCAGCGTGCTGGGCGTTGGCTGCGGCACCGTCGCGGGGCAGGTCTGCAGTGCACATCAAAGAGCGCTAGTGAGGCCTGCACGGAGTGTACCTGAGCTCACCGGGCTTGGGACGACGTGGGGGTTGACACCATCAGGCTGTAATTTTCCACATTCTGGGAAACTTTTTTTCTGCTTCCAGAGTATCCTCCTGCTGTATGGGACCTACTTGGCCGGTTTGACTGACAACGTCAGCTCCCCACCAGTCAACCAGTCCTTGACGCTCATCGTTGGAGTCAACCTTGTTTTCCTGGCAACTGGCACCATCTGCTTAGTTCACCGTTTCTTCCGTGCTTGGCACAACTTGGTGTTTGGTTTCACCTCTGGAGGCATCTTCATTTGTACAACCACAATCAACTGCTTCATCTTTGTCCCACAGGTATGCTGCCACCTCTGTCCCACCACCCGGCTGGAAACGGGCACATTTTTGGTGTTTAACAACAGCAGCTGTGTGGGCCCAAGCGCTTATTTTCCTGCTGCTTTCCCCAAATGTTCAGGCTCATCTGCACAGCTCCAAGCTGCTGGTGGTTCTGCAAGTTCTCTGAGCCTCCAGAGAATGCAGGCACATTGCAGAGCTGCTGCTCAGAAACCCTCCTGGCAGCCACACAGAGGGCATGCGTGGAGGCGAGGCAGCTGCTGTCCTCTCCCTCCACCATGTGGGTGGTGGGATTGGTCCTCTATGCAGTTATCCTTTCCCCACACCCTCCAAGGGTTTCTGCCTGTGACAGGGATGGAGCCAGGCTTTGGCTATCCAGATGGCCTTGCCAGGCTCAGAGGCTTTGTGGCTGCTGGTGGTCCCCAGGGAAGGCTGTCCTCCTTTGTGCTCTTGGAGAAGGAAGCTGGGCTTTGCCACAAGTGAGAAGGAGGACGTGGAGATGTTTGAAGGAAGCCTTTTGTGGTGAGGCAAAGCTCTGCTACTTCCTGTGTCCTCCAGGAGCAGCCTGGTGTGCCTGGCCACGACCCTTAGTGGGGGAGAAATGTTCCTATTGTTACAGGGAGAGGAAACAGTTGTTTACTCAGTTTTATGTTTAGAGGGATATTTGGGCTCAAGGAAATGAGGTGAGAAAGGGAGGAAGAGGTGAAGCTGAAGAAAGAGCACATCTGTGCAAGAGAGGGCTCAGGGGATCTCACCAATGTGTATAAATACTGCTGGAGGTGGAGCAGGGAAGGGGGAGCCAGGCTTTTCTTGGTGGTGTCCACTGACAGGAGAGGGGACAATGGGCACAAGCTGAAACACAGGAAATTCTATTTAAACATCAGAAAAAGGGCTGGGTTTTGGGGTATTTTTTGGGGTTGTTTTTGTTTTTTTTTTCTGTGAAAGTTGTGAAGCACTGGAGCAGGTGGCACCAATAGGCTGTGGAGTCTCCACCCTTGGAGATACTCAAGACCCAGCTGGACACAGTCTTAGGCAGCCTGCTCCAACTGACCTTGCTTGAGCAGGGTGAATGGACTAGATAATTTCTAGAGATGCCTTCTTACCTCAGTTGATGTAGTGTAACTGCAGAGTCCCAACTTGCTGCTCATCTGAGCAGCTTTTGGGAACAGGATCCAAACCTCCTCTGACAAGCACCAAGCCTGCTGGCAATGCTCTGCCAAGCACCAGGTCTCTTGGAGAGAGGGCAGAGGAGCTGATGAGCTGTACTTGCACTCTGCCTGTACCATTTTTCCACAGTAGCCTGGGGGCCTTGAACATTTCATTTAACTTGGATCTTTTAATTCATCAGCTTGTTTTTCCTAATGAGCTCGCTCTTCTATTGCTCATCTGAGATCGATAAGCAGCTGGAGCTGGGCTGCACGAGGCTTCCACACAGACACTAGAGGAGAAAATGGGATCCTAAGCGTTGCTGGTCTGCAGCTTGTCACTGGCGATTCGGGGCTAAGGAGGCGTGTGTGCCTCTGCCTTTGTCTGTCAGGGAGCAGAAGAAGAGGGAGGGGGCTTCTGCATCCTGCTTAGTGCAGGCACTGACCCTCTCCGCGCTGGAAGCTGGAGCCAGGGACAGGGTAGGGCTCCGATGGGCGGGAGGCTGCCAGTGACACCGCAGGCCCTCGC